CACCAGGCCCACCTCTCTCTCCCTCTCCTCCGACGCAGACCACCACCACTCTCTCTCTCTCTCTCGTCCGACGCAGACCACCACCACAAGCTCTCTCTCCTCCGCCACCAGTCCCACCACGAGCTCTCTCTCTCCTCCGCCACCAGGCCCACCTCTCTCTCCCTCTCCTCCGACGCAGACCACCACCACTCTCTCTCTCCCTCTCCTCCGACGCAGACCACCACCACAAGCTCTCTCTCCTCCGCCACCAGGCCCACCACGAGCTCTCTCTCCTCCGCCACCAGTCCCACCACGAGCTCTCTCTCTCCTCCGCCACCTCTCTCTCCTCCGGCGCAGACCACCACCACTCTTTCTCTCCTCCGACGCAGACCACCACCACAAGCTCTCTCTCCTCCGGCGCAGAGCACCACCACTCTTTCTCTCCTCCGACGCAGACCACCACCACCCGTATCAACTCTGTTTGGCTTCACTGTCAAATAAGCTCCCTGTAAAGCTAACTCAAGCTCCTCTGTCCATCCTCTGTTTAAAGTAGTTTTGGTTCGCTTTGCAAGTTAGCTTTATGCTCAAAAACATCTTTGTGTTGTGTTTTGTTAGGAATATGGATTAATGTTTGGTTCACTATGTTCTGTTTATAAGAATCTACAATCTCTAGAAGTGTGAAATTAGTAATTTATTCTCATGAGAAGTGTGTTAATATTTAATGGCGTGGTATACATTAAATTGAGTATTTTGCAGGCTTACCTTGTTTGTGAATCATAGACTACGTTTGTGTTAGACAATTTTGCAGGCTTACATCACAAAATTTTAGTACATTGACTTAGTTTTGTGGCAGTGTTAGACAATTATTTACATGTGTTTGTAAGAATTCATGAGGATGTAATGTGTTGTTTTTTATTGACTTCTCTGGTATCTTTTTTTTTTATTTGCAGGATGGATTTGGAGTCTCTTGATACAATAGCAATCCTTGAAGCTCAAAGAGAATACATGGACATGAATGAAGAAGATGCTTTGAATGAAGAAAATGCAATGAGGGAAGGAGAAACAGAAATGCAAGAACCAGAACAAAATGACACACAAGCTGCTGCAACAACTCAAGCGACACAACCACGTAAGAGACGTCTAACTTCTAAAGTTTGGAAGGATTTTACATCTGTTGGGGTTGAAAGTGATGGCAAGGAAAGAGGTCAGTGTAACCATTGTGGTAAAAAGCTAGTGATTAATACTAGAACACATGGAACAAACCACTTGAGTCGCCACTTAGATTCTTGTCCAGAAATGCCTAAACCAGTAGTTAGGCCTGCATATGATCATAAGATTGATAGGGAGATGACTAGCGAGATCATAATCTTTCATGATTTGCCATTTAGATATGCTGAGTATGAAAAAGTTAGAGCAAGAAGCTTATACCTCAATCCCGATTGTCAGCCTATCTGTAGACAAACTGCTGCTGCTGATGTGTATAGAAGGTATGAAATAGAGAAGGAAAAGCTTAGAGATGTGTTTGCAAAGCATCAGGGCAGAGTTTGTTTTACTTCAGATTTATGGCTAGCTCGTCCCACTACCATGGGTTATTTGTGTCTTACTGCCTCTTTCATAGATGATAACTGGAAATTACATAGTAGGATTTTAGCCTTTTGTGCTCTAGAGTGTCCACACACTGGTGAAGCGATTGCTAGTACAATTCTTGGGTGTTTGAAGGAATGGGGTTTGGAAAAAAAAGTGTTTTGTATCACTTTGGATAATGCTAGTAACAATGGTAGTATGCAGAGAATTCTTAAAGGGCAGCTTCAGATGATGAGTGGTAGTGGTTTGATGTGTGATGGGAAGTTTATGCATGTGAGATGCTGTGCCCATATATTAAATTTGATAGTGAAAGAAGGTTTGGAGCTAGCGAAGGATCTCTTGCATGACATTAGAGAAAGTGTCAGATATGTAAAAGCTTCTCAGCAACGAATACAGTCGTTTGCAGCTTGTGTTGAGAGAGTTGGAATCAAGGATGGAGCAGGTTTATCCCTTGATGTCCCGACAAGATGGAATTCAACATACCATATGCTTGTCCGAGCATTGAGGTTTAGAGAAGCTTTTGAAAGCATGGCATGTTTTGACACACATTATAAGTCACTGCCTTCAGAGGCTGCCTGGAACCGAGGGACAAAGATATGCGAGCTGTTGATGCCTTTTAGTAAGATTACTACATTTTTCTCAGGTTCAAAGTATCCTACATCTAACTTGTACTTCACTGAAGTGTGGAGGATTGAAAGGTTGTTGAAGAAATTTGCTACATGTGATGATGCTGGAATAAGAGGAATGGTTCATGAAATGCAAGATAAGTTTGATAAGTACTGGGAGGATTACAACATGATTTTGGCGATGGGAGCTGTCTTGGATCCGAGACTGAAAATTGAGGTTCTTGAGAAAGCTTATGAAACTTTAGATCCCACTACTTCTGCCTTAAAGATTCAACAACTTAAGGATAACTTGGAGTTGCTCTACAATGACTATCAGGCCAGAAAATTGGCAAGCTCCTCGGGTTTCTCAGCTACACAAACTCCATTTGAGATAGTCAATGAATCTCCACTTGAAGAAGATTTTGACGATGTAAGTATAGTATAAAATTATAAAATTTTATAAGCATATTATTTATTGATTAACTGATATGAATCTTCATTTTATAGGATATTTTTGAGTTAGAAAGAAGCATCGCAGCTGGTGTGGGAAACCCTAAGACACATTTGGAGATCTATTTGGAGGAGCCAAGAGTAGACAGAAAAGCTTTTCCAGACTTGGATGTTTTGGGTTATTGGAAGGACAATCATCATCGACTTAGTGATTTAGCTGATATGGCGCGAG